TGATCCTTTGGTTGGCGCTCTTGTTTTTGACTTGCCGTTCCTGAGACCTGTCTCACACGGGGTAGAACCTGAGCCCGGAGTACCGGTACTCTGCAGAGTGCTTCGTGATTAGGAGATTGGGTGATGTATTTGTATGTTTTACCATTAAAGCAGATTATTGTTTAACTTGTATTCTGGTGTTTCTTAATCCCTTCCTTTTTTTTGCGAAGTCATGCTTAATATGTATTTAATAACATACGTTTTATAAAAGTGGAGATGTGTCACTACAAATTGCTCATGATGCTGAAATGATCATAATCACATCATCTTGTAGAGACATTGTTGAATGTATCATTTTGTAGTTGAATGTTCAGGGTTCATACACTTTTTCACCAATGATTTTCAATGACTTCTCCATGACCTTTACCTAATTTCCCATGACCAAAAAAATTACTCTTTCTCAGCTGAAAATGGTTTATTTTAAAATGGAACAGGAAAATAAGGTCTGCATCTGAAACATGTTGTGTCTTTCTAAAACAATCAAATAGTAGGGTTACCAGCTCCTACAGGCTAAAGCAACTCAAATCTCTAACCAGCAAAACATCTCGTCAGTTAAATGCCATTTTACGTTTCATTACTATACGATACAGTATGTATTATCATTATAGTATTACTATTTCGGCGATTAGATAAAATATAAATTATATTTGATGTAACTTTAGTTACTTTTCCGAAACTTTGGGGAAAATATTGTTTTCCATAACTTTTCCAGGGCCTGGAATTAGCATTTCGAATTTCCATGACTTTTCCAGGTTTTTAATGACCGTAAGAACCCTGAGTGTACGTTTGAGTGTTTCCTCTGATTGACATGCTTTTCTACCACAAATGAAGATGCATCTGCACCTTTGGAGGCACACTCACAGAGCTTGTTTCATGCTGCAGACAGGAGGTCTGATGATGGTCACCCGTCTAACTCTAGCAGTCTGATGAGGAGCTCGCTGATGAAGACTCCAGCGGCGAGGATGATGAACATGAGCAGCACAGCGAGGCCACGTCGCACCACCAGCTGCCTGACTGACAGAACCACGTCATCTGAAGTCTGCTGACCTTCCAGCTTCCCCTCCACACCACTCAAAGAACTGGATCGTACGTGGCCCTGTTTCTCACCAGAGTCCGGGGCTGTCGGGGATTTGAAAACATGATTAATTTCTGTTGTGCAATAGTTACCAGTGAGAAGACATCCACATTGAGCTAAAGATAAAGTTAACAGCTACTGGTGTTACCTTTGTTTTCTATCCCGAAGATCTTGTTCCTCTCTGTAATGTGGACTCCAGCTCTTATCAGCGCCTATTCAGAGATATTTAAAACAATAACAAAGAATCGTTTATTTTGAAAAGTCACAGGAAAACATGCTACAGTATTATTATCACATGCTGTCTACACTGTAGATATTTGTTTTGTACAATAGCTATTGCACTGTAATAATTAAACAGACCAGAGTTACTCACCTCTTCTGTGACCTTTGTCCAGTTTAGTTTACAAAGGAAAACAATAAAAAAAACAGACTGTATCAAAACGGAAATTAAAAACCCAGACCACAGCCCTGCGACAGAGATGGAAAGAGGGCTGTTGGTTAGTTTGAGTAAAAATGTGTCAACATTTTCACGATATTATAATTTTTTTTACCCTTACCTACAATGCCCATTTTAACAGGAAACATCAGAGACGCTCCAATGGGGAGCCCGATCAAGTAGAAACCCACCAAGTTGCACACAGCACCAATCATTTGTTTCCCTGTCCCCCTTACAATACCTCCGGTCACACCCTGTGGAGATGAGATAAAGAGAAATGTAAAAAAAAAAAAAAAAAAAAGTTTGGTTCCGTTTGCTCTGCAGAGAAATAATGTGATTTATTGGCAAAAGTTTCTAACCGCAATGGCTTCAGCGACATGGATTACGCCGTACATCTTCATGACATCTGACACTCTCTGAATAATGTCTCTGAAAGAAAAATGCAAATATTCAAATGTTTGATACTGAATATCAGTACAAAGTCAATAGAATTATACTAGCAATAAAACTGCCTTCCTCCGGTAGTGACGGTAGTGATGTAGTGATTAACAAACAAAATGTCCAAGTTTACTTTGCTGATATGGATCACCTCTGAAGTTAATACATGATGAATTACACTTTGTCACAAGCTCATTGTGCGAACATAAGTACGTACTTCTCTGTGGTGAAAATGTAACCAACCAAATCCTTGAACACAATAAGAACTGCTCCGATGAGACATGAGACACAGCCTGGAAGGGAGAGAAAGACACATTGTTAGACAAGACTGGGGAATATATAAAACCATTAAGAGGTGTACCATTTATTTGTAATTAACCGGTGACAGATGACTTCAAAGTGGTACATTTAAAATAGACAAACATGGCACATGACTTTGATCCAAGATCCAAGGAGATCACCACATAGCAGCCATTGCCTTTTGTTTTGGTACATGATGGTTAGTCAGGCTACGAATTGGATCCATACATGCACAGATGAAGGAGACCTTGCTGGACAGCTTGGCTTGCTCTGTGTTCCCAGCACCGAGAGCATTCCCAACACGAACACTGGCAGCCACGGAGATACCCATCGGAAACTGTGTAGGACAGGAGGAAAAAAATATAGAATTTTTTTTAAATTCACAGCCAAATATGGTAAGATTATTGATAATGTCCTGTAGATTAAAATAAATTAGGAATATGCACAAATATTACAAATACAATCCCACAAATATTTCTCAAAATCCATATTTAAACTCTTGAAAATCATTTTCTTCTGTGCTAGGAGGTGCATTTAAAAAAAGTGGGTGTTGAAGGAAACCCCCTAACGTCACACAGCGGATAAGTAGTGTGTTTGAGTTTATGCCTCCTAAAGCTCTCAGATTTAAGATGGGAACATTTTCAGTTTTCTTAAGTTTTTAACCCTTTTACAACTTATTTAGGACCTCATTGCTTATGAACAATAACCGCAGGGCTCTGTGGTCTGGCAAAAGGAGAATTTATGCTTTATTTATTGCATGTTTTTAATGCTGTACATTCCTGTTCATTATCTGTTTCAAATATAAAACGTTCTGTAAACCTAAAAAAATAACAAATGATCATGCATTTTGTTCTATTACTCAATATCAATCCAAAACAATTGAGGAGAAAGTAATAAGGAGAAAAAGCAATGTGTGAGGCAGTTACCATGTAAACGATAGCAGCCAGTTGATAAACGATAGACTGAGCTCCCAACTCGACCTCACTGATCATGCCCGCCAGGAACCCTGCGATCTCGTACAGCCACCACTCCAGACAGAGCATCAGCATGCTGGGGATGGCCAGGTGGAGGAAAGGACCCCACTCCTGCAGGCACTCTGCTGACCAGCCTAGGAGACGACAGGAGGGAGGATGGATCATGGGAAATGCAGATGTTGTCTACAATGCAAAAACTGAACCTAAAGCCCTCATTCAATAGTGTGATAAAACATTCTCTCGCACGGGTTTATCTGTTTTATTTGTTATGTTAGTTGGCTAACACAACTAGTGCTAATTAGCAAACGTGCTAACACAAAACTAAGATTGTAAACATGTTGAACAAAACCCCCACACATAAGCTTCTAACAATTATTTAGTTGGTTATGCTGCTTCAGAACTGTGCCCAACAACAGTCATATAGAGCTACTAGGATGTAGGAAGACTCAAAATGAATGTAATTATAACAATGCAAAATTCACTTATAAACTTTCAAGGCTTTGTTGTCATTTACACATTAGCTACAGTATAGATATGGCAATGAAAAACTCTAGGACATAGAACAAATAGTTTCTGCTTTCCTGATAAATAGCACCACATGTGTCCCAGATATATTTAATCATGCAATCATGAGGAAGTAACAGTCGAAAGAAAGTTATCTCTACAATAGTTTTATCCCCTGAACGTACCGTCCCATGTAGCTTTGTGCAGCCCCCTGAAGCAGATGTAAACAAACAAGAACACAGCCAAGGAATACTGAGAGATGGCATTGGCAGCTGCAGATCCACTTTGGTGGTGTCAAAACAAAGGAGGTAGAAAAACAAAGCATGTAGTCACTGCAGTCGCACAAAGAACTCCCCCTGATGACTATTAAGAATGACTCATAAACATACAATCTCCTTACTCTAATTTATACACTGATTGGTTAAAACAGAAAAGATTATGACTCAGTTAAGGAGTACGCTGGTGGGTGTACTCACGTGATCCCCAGATCCAGGCGGTTTAGGAAGATGTAGTTGATTATTACATTTAAAATGTTCCCCATGGCTCCGGAAATCACCTGGGGCCACATGATGCCCTGTGAGCCAAAGTAAGCTTGTTAAAAGAAACACATCATTCCACCTGCTTCGTATTACTCTCACACACTCCTTACTAACACACAAAATGATCTGATTACAGACTAACTTTCAGTCATTATTTAGTTTCACATCAGTGGTTTGCAGACATTAAACACACCTGATTCTGCAGATACCTCCCCTGCAGCTGGTACATGAAGGCAGCCTGCAGGATCCAACATGAGGCGATGAATGAGGTTAAAAGGCTCAATAATGCAACTCAACATTCATCTGAAGAGGACATATTCTGTTCATTTTCAGGTTATTTTTTGTATTTTGTGCCTTTACTGTGACTTTAATGTTCAAAAGGGTCTTTATTTTTCTCATACTGCCTGTGCTGCAGCACCCCTTTTCACCCTCTGTCTGAAACCAGAGCCCAGTCTGCTCTGATTGGTTAGCTCTGTTGTGATTGGTCAACCACTTAGAGATGACCCGCCCCTTAGTCTATCATGTTCAATGTGTTGGAGCGCTAGCCAATACAATTGTGAGTGTTATAGTGATGTCACTATGTTACAGAAGTCAACAAAGGAGTCCTAATGGAGGCGTTTCAGACGAGTGGGAGAGAAATCCCCTCTGGAGGCAACTTTGGGATTTGAGCCTGTGCAAACCATTGACATGCACACAAACCTATAGAACACACTACAGGAAAGGGAAAACCCCAAAAAGCATAATATGACCTCTTTAAGACATCCATGTGTATGAAGATAAACAAAATATTTTAGGAAAAAAATGTGGAAGAGGACGAACTCACAGGCAGAGCTGGCATAAAGATCTTAACGTACAGCTGGGAGAGTCTTTAGGATAGACAAAAAAAAGGGGGAAATGGTGAAAACATGCAATAAATAACACAATTGTTTGATTCATGATTGATGAGTGTATATGAAGCATTCAATGTCAGTTTATGCTTTTATAATGCACTGATTTTGAAGTGCAGAGGGTTCACCTGGCGACCTCTTTGCTCTGCCTGACAGCCAAGAGAATGGGCTGAGTGTTAATGAGTACGGCCCAGCAGGGGAAACAGGCTAAGAGCAGAATCAGAACTCCCCTCTGGAGTATCACTCCTACGCGCTTCAGGTTACCGCTCCCATAGGTCTGCAGGGAACGGGTCGGAAAAACAAGGAAGATAAATAACGCTTACTCGTGTGCAATTTGACTCAGGAAAACAGATCCGTAGGAGCATAGTGTGAACGCAGCGGTAACTGGTCAGCACTGACCTGGTTGTAATAATATAATACCTGAGATATGAGAGTATCACATGCTGACGCCAAACCACAGCCAATGGAAATACCTGTGACATTTATTACCTATATTGAAAAGAGACAACATAAAACACAGATTCATGAATTGATAGATAATTCAAATCAACCAAGTAGTTAAATTATTTTTAAAATACTTGATTCATACTTGATATCGACTTCATTAATAGATGCACTTCGCTCAGAATACAAACTCATGTTTTCAAATTAAGTAAGCTATAGGTAAAACACAACAAAGAAACAAACAAATACATATAAATAATAGAAATGAAAGTAAACACATATATCTTAAGTTAAAGATAAAAAAGGCAATGATATGCACAAGGGGCTAAGATATAATTATAATTAAAATAATAATAATAATATATCGGATTTTATAGAAGTTTTCCGAATGCTCAAATACACTTTACATAAAATAAGAACAGAAACAAAACAAAAGCATAAACAATAGTCCTAATCAAGAATAAGATATGTTCTTGTTATGTCTTCCAGTTGCTTCAATTCATACTTCATCAAGAAAACAGATGGATGACTTTATAAATATATTAGTATATGCACATACGGTAACCAGCGTTACCCATGTATATATACACACAAGTAGTTACATCCCATTTCAATGGCAGTCAAACAGACTGCGAAAAATAGCTAAAGCTAAACTGCGTTAACATCACTCACGGCTATTGCTAACGCCACCCCCGCCAGCTCGGTTTTCCCCAGGTGTCCGCAGAACACCATGCTGACGAAGCCGATCAGGAAACTCATCATCTGTGAAATAGCCTGGAAAACAAAATCATGCTCGTCTGAATAACTATAAGGAAATTAATGAACTTCAGCAAACATGAAAGAGACATGAAACTCCACATGCAGCCCGTAAAGTGACTGACAGAGTTATTATCCACTCATTGGCATCCGACGTGTGTTATGCTTTGGTTTTACTGCAGCTCCTTTGTATTTCTGAATGTCTTTACTACTTCTCTTTTCTTTTTCGTTCTGGTGATTGCTGGTGTAGGTTTTTGACAGCCTTTGGCATCAAAAGGTTTTCATAAAAGAAAACGAAATGTCCTCATCTATCAAGAACTGGCTTTGTGCACGAAGTGGAAGGCAGGGGAAAGTGGATACATGCTGAACTATTTTTCTTTCCCCTCAAAATGTATAATTTTCTTTTCAGGAGAGACACTTACAAAAATATAGTTCGAAAGTCTATGAGTTTGAGTAACTATATATACTGTTTATAAAAGCAATTTGGAGTCATTTAAGGGTTACCTTTGAACATCTAAAACGTCTTCCAGTGCTTAATGAGTACAGCCAACATGTCACACTGAATGTGTCTGATAATTGAGCTAGTGATTCCTCTAATGCATCTATTTAGGCCACTGTAATCTGTTTGAGTTAAAATGATGCAACACTTCTATTACTAGCCAGGCAATTCTTTGTCCAATTAGTCCCAATGGTTTGCAGTTATTACCCTGTTAATGACTGCTTTATTAAAGCAGGAGGCAAATTGAAAATAATTACTGGTACAGCACAAACCCCAAGTGGAAAATTAAGCAATTTAAGCCTTTTTCAAAGGCATCTCAGTTGTATACACTTTTATCATGGTAATAAGTGACTTCCACGGTAAAATACTCTTAATTACAGCCGGTTTTGAAAAATGTACAATCTTAACAGCCTCAACAACTGATGGAGTTATTATGAGTCACACTCAGTCACTCTGAATATTGTTGCAGACTAAGTACCTCTAGCTCTGAAAATGATTGGTCTTATGAACAAAGAGTTGATTTCCATCCAAACACAATCTTACCACAGGCCCTGCCAGTTTTAAAAAGTGAACAATTTCATTCTTGAAGTCCACAGGTATCCAGCGCTTGATGCTTCTCAGGCAGGATCTGCAGTGCGAGTCGACACCGTGAGCAGCAGGAGAAGCTGATTCATCTGTTTTGGACTCTCCATTTACCCCTGTACATGCAGCTAAATCGTCCATACTGAAATGAGATTTGGCAGAAAACAAAACTCAATCCCAAACTGAATGATCGTACTGTACAGTTCCCCTCGGACACAGACAAGAAAGCTGGGAGTAATCAATAACCAATTACCTGGGTAATAATCAATGGTGAAGGCAATGTCTGCTCACCTAACTCTCTGTCTGTGAGAGTGGGCTGTTACTATACAATATGCTGGGGCATATCCACCCCCGACCCACCACCAAGCTGTGCACTCCCCTAAAAACGGTGCCAAAATGAAGCTGGTTGTTTACTCTTGGCTGTGCTGCAGTGTCTCAGATGTTCACTGTTTCACCAAAGCTCAAAGGAATGAAACAGTGTGAAGACACTTGCCTATGATTTAACACAGTGTATGAGTAACAGAGTGCTCATCTGGTTAAACCCTGCCCTTAACAAGACACTGACGGGAGGTGGGATGACTCATGATAATTTCACTTGAGAAAGTTTAGGAAAAGTAAAAGATGACTGTGACAATACATGTGACACAAGACGGGTGATAAGTATCTGCAAGGGCACAAGCACACAGGGAATTAAGCAGCTCCTTTCAGAAGAGAATAAGCTCCGAACATTACCAGCTCAGACGGCATAGCAAGCAACTAGCTAGTGAACATAAAACACTGAAAAACAGGTATATAAGATGTTTATTCTAAAAAAAGAATGATTATCTGAATGAATGATAATCTTGCTCCATAATGCGGGGAAGTTAAACAGAAAACGAGTTTGCCTAAAAGATGATAAGTATGTGTTGGGTTCACAGATAGGTGTTTTTTTGTTGCTATTGCAGGTTTCATTACAACAATTACATAAGAGGAAGTAAAAATCTATGGCATTTCTAAGAGCGGATATAAAAACAAACCTAATTAGCCAAAGATTCACACTTTTTTGTTTTCCTTGTCTTAAATATATGAGGACCAAATGGGCCTGCTATAAACACTGAATTAAATATTAAGATGTAAGTGAGTTATTACAGTCACTAAAATATGTAAATGCAATCATCTGAGCACTACTTTACATGTAATAGTTTTTACAATAGTTATTACAACAAAGTTCGACATCATATGTAAGAGCTATTTCAGAATATCCTTTTTATTTTATTCAACAAACAGCTAAAAGCTCAAAGTAGAATTCCCATCTTCTTTTGCTGTCGGCTGTCAAACTATCTCATGACGGCAGAGATACAAAAAGACCTGACGTGGTGTGACTCACTCATATATATTTTTCGCCTCACTGAGGTAAATCACTGCGCCTGTCACTGTAAACAGCACACTTGCTTGTATCCTGTCGCCTCTTCGTGTTTTATTCCTTCTCCCATAGTAACACCTCTGGTTGCGGCTGTGTGAACCTCCCATCGGGTGGTGCTGTTTTGCTCTGGCTGAAACTCAAACGATCAACATTTCTGGCACATCAGCCTGCTTCACTGAACTTTGAATGGATTTCTTATAATTTAATCAAATCACTCTAAACATATGCTTCTCCTTCAGCTGATTCAAACACAGCCAAGCCTCTCTGCAACATACCGTTCAACATATTATCAAACTCAAATTAGCAGTTTCAAATGTTTTTCTTTGCTTCGGGGGCTAGAAGGAGACGAGAAAAGCGAAGAAAGAGAAATTAGCAGAGGCCAACGGGAGAGGAAGGGGGTGACACCTAGCGTAGGCTCTCATTCATTTCCCTGGTTCAGTGATGCAGCAAGGCCCACCGGGTCCACCCACCCACCAAATTGTATTCCTCCGGCTCCCCCAACCCAACCACACGCTCAGACTCACACACACGTAAATATGATCCACCAACCAGCGAGGCCGTCGTCCGCCGTGACGTCACACTGCAGTTCTTCTCGGGCTCCACTGGATGACAGTGGCAAGTCACCGCTTACACACCATCAGCCGTCATTCTTAATGGCGACCAGTCAGAGTGTGTGTACGTGAGTGCATTTGTATGTGTGTTTGTGTGCCTGTGCGTTTGGGTGGGGTTCGCGCCTGATGGGTAGCGATGGAGTATTGAGGAGGTGGAGAGGGCTTATTGGAGGGGGTAGGTGTTTGATGGAGGTGTAGGAGGCGGGGGCGGGCAGTAAAAATCGCAAATGAGAGGAAATTGTTTTGAGTCACAGCAGATTTGGTGGAGTGAGATAAGGGCTGATGACGGTGGTGGTGGTGTGATTAGGATTAGGGTGGGGGGGTTTGGAGAGAGTAGAAGGTGTGGTGTGGTGCGGAAGGGGTGGGGTTAGGGGTTGGGAGAGTGTGTGCATGGAAGAAGGTTTTGGGAGGGGTGAGACTATTTACACGCACAGTGTCCCTGTGTCAGTGTGTGTTGGGTTGTGCATTTATCTGTGTGTAGGTTGTGATTTTTCCTTCTGACTATGAGAGAGGGGGTTTGAGGGAACGATGAGGAGATGGGTGGTTTAGATAATGGCGGACAAAGACAGCGGACGAGGGCAGAGCGTGTCACGCAGAAAGATAGAGTGCGATGGAATAAGAAAGAGTGCATGAGACAAAAGAAGTGAACATTTGATAGAGAGGGAAAAAAAAACGGAGACAGTGCAGAGGGGGGGTGTGCAGGCCGTGGATGAGAGGATGGACGAGGGGAGGGATGTTGAAAGAGTGCCAGAGTGATTTTCGACGTGTTCTCTTCCCTCCTTTGTTGGTTAAGTTGCTGGTAGCTTTGGCGGCTGGAGCTTTAGGGTTTTTTGAGAGAAACAATGACGCAGTGGGAATCGTGGCGTCTGCTCCAGCTGATAATGATGATGCCGATAACAATAATAAGTAGCTTCTAGTGGAACCCTAAAACCGCTGGCACGTGAAGCGTACGTCACACATTATCACACATGACACACTGCACTGGACACACAGACATGGCTATCTCACGTTGGCAGTGTGTGTGAGGGGGGTCAGAGAGAGAGAGCGAGACACAAAGAGACTCATGGGTGGAAAAAGAGAGAAATGGGGAGCAGAGGGGGGGAAAACAGATTATACTCGGAGTCTGTCACCTGCATACACTTGAAATACGGGATGAACGTGGGGGATGTAAGCTGAAAGTCAAAAACGAAATGAATGCGTTTTTTTAGCTCCCACTATTGTAGGTGGGCAATCTTGTGTAATTGTGCTTTTATCAGAACAGAGAGCAACAAAAAGAAAAGATGAAAGGCAGTCACTCAAAGAAAGCTAAACCCCACTGAGCAACATTATATTGAAATGTGATAAAAACTTGAATGAGATGGTGGGAGGGGGTTTGGTTCACATTTTCGTAAAACCACATTCTCCCTTTAAATGTCAAGCGCCTCATTTGAATTTCAGACTTTGTCAAAAGAAACATATAATTGAAGTAGGGACCCAAAAATGACGATATAGATTTGAAGTAATTCAGCCATGACTAAAGCAAAGGAGAATCTGCTGTCTGCTCTTTTGATGATGCTTTTGAATTTCTTCGGTGAGTCATATAGACATTTCTTGAAATAGCCACAGCAATGCTGCACTCAAATCGTGTACCAGGTGTTATAAATACGGCTTGATGTTTGGAGAATTATAATTTCGTTTTGATGAGGAAGGTTGGCAGAGACAGCAGAGTGGGAGGTATTCTCCTGCAGAAACAAATTACAATCGTAACATGTAACTGTCTCTCAGGAAATTAGGTTACATTATGCCTTAATGAAAACCTTGTCTGACCTGCGCAAACCGGCACCATGGGAACACGTTATAATCCCACTGTTGATATACACAGTGCTGTCATAATGCAATGGACGAGCCTTCTCAAATGCCACCAACCCTGATTTGTCTTCAGTGACTCATCCAGCCTCTAAAACAATGCGGCACCGTGCTGCTCGCTCCCTCATGACACACTGTCCTTTCCATAGCACCCTTGATGAAGCTGCGGGTTTGTCCACAGGGATAAACACAAACAGACAGCACCAACGGGTGTCTCCACTCGCCCAAGCAGAAATAAATAAAAAACAAGGATCAGAGGTAAACTGATTTTTGAGGACATCTTGTATGAACCAGACAAAAGCCCCCCATTAGGCTCTCGGGGGCTTTTGTGTATGTTTTTGTGGTGGGGTCGTAGGGCTGGATTACATCCATGATAAACAAATGCTTGGAATTGATTCTGTGCTTTGTTGATTCATACAGTCTGAAGAGGCTCATTGACTGTGGCAGCTGGTTGACCTTGCAGGGAAGGCAACCTGTTTCTCTCACTTTCAGTTTCCCCCTTGGGAGGTTTTTTTTCCTCTCGTCTGAGGAAGTGAAGCAGGAGATGTTGTTTCTGACATGAACAGCGGCACCTGGACTCACATACCTGGAACATAGCAGCATTGTGTGACGCTTTGGTGTCTAAGCTCTTCAAATCGATCCTTACACACTTTGACAAGTGGCTAAAATAACTTTGCATTATCTGGTTTTGGAAATAGATTGAAAACAAAGACGTTATCTGCTTTATCTAAACGCTAATCACACACGTCTTAACCTACACACTTTCAGCCTATTGGCTTTCATCAGTACCTTGGCTTTTACCTTTTTAAATGCGGACTATAATCCTAAACACTTACAACGAACTTACACCTCAACACAAACAAAAATATGGGAGTAGGTATCCATTACTGAGGTAAATATATGGATGATATTAGCTTTACATTTACAGTACAATACTCTTACTTCCATGCCAGCTAAAACGTCATACTCTGCATCAAAGTTAGTCAGATTTCAATGTTTTAGCTGCTGCTGTAGTTATTATGACTCTCAACCATAAAGCAAACAACACTCAAGAAAATATATGGAAACTGAAGATATGGAAAGAAAAAGGAAACGAGATATATTGGAGATGGAGAGATATAGGAAAATAAAAGTGAATATACGAACACATCTGTGTGAGTTAAGATGTTTCAACTTTAGCGAAAGATTGATATGACGATATTTCATGATTATTCTTACATCAACAAGGCTGAGACTGTTGCTGCAGTCTATGACTCAACATTAGTACTAAACGGTGATGGAAAAAAACAGGGAAGGACTTGGAGGAAACTGAGTGAAGCCCAGTGTTGGAAGAAGTACTCCTTTATCCTTTACTTAAGTACAAATAAAACTTAAGTAAAAATAAAACTACAATGGTCTTAAAGTACTCCATTGCAAGTAAAAGGCCTGATTTCAAAATGTTACTTCAGTAAAAGTACAAAAGTATTGTCATCAAAATGAACTTAAAGTACAGAAAGTAATAGTACTCGTTCTGCACAATGGCCCATTTCTGAATACTATGTATAATAAGTTCAGAAGAAGCTATGTTCTTCAGATGTAAAAGTACTCGCTATGCAGAAAGGATATTTTCA